CACTGCTGGAGTATTTTAAAGCAATTTCCAAGCATAAAGTCATCTCATCCCTATATATTTCAGTGTGTATATGTGTGTATATATGTGTATTTATTATATTTATGCATGTATAAATTTTTTATGTCCCTAAAGATAAAGATTTTTTAAAAACATAAGTACAATGTCATTATCACATCTCACAAAAATGGCAACAGTTGCTCAATAACATCTAATACTCATTCTACTGTAAATTTCCTCAGTTGTCTTAAAAATGTTGGTTTGGTTTTGATCAGCATCCAAAAAATATCCACATATTGCATTTGGTTGGAGGGTATTTTGAGTTTTTTTTCTAATTTATAAGTGATCAGCTAGCTTTAGCTGTTAGACCACTAGAAAGCTAAGTGGCTTAAATCAACAACATGTTATTTAGTGCAAAAATCTGTCATTTGGCAATTTGGGCTGGGCTCAGATGTGATTAGGTGCTGGGTCAGCTCAAGTCTGGCTGGTGTGTGGTGGTGGTGGGGGTATGGGGCTCCCTCAGGGATGGGTTATCTTTGCTGTCTGCTGTCTCTCCTCTCCCAAGAGGCTACCCTGGGTTTGCTCACATGGTGCCAGGTTTCCTTCAGCAGCAAGTGGGAAACCCCAAAAGGCCTCTTGGAGCTGGGCTTGAGCTGCACGTGCTGCTTTGTTACATTCCATTGGCCAAAGATGTCACGAGGCCAACTTCACCTTTTGATGGGAGAATTTGCAAAGACTCATTGCAAAGGGCACAGCTATACAAGAGCATTTTAGCAATCTACCATAGTCACCTTCCAAATATGTTTTAACTTCCGTAACCCTTAAAACTTGTCAAAGACTACGTATCTCTTAAAGCTTGTATTTTAAATTTAAACTATTCTTAAATGACTATAAATTGATCACTTGCAAATTTTTAAGAAAACTTATTTATTCAATGCCAGCAGAAAACTTAAAAACTTGCAACTTTTTAAGAAACATTGGATCAGAACCATAAGATAATTTTGTTCTTGTATAAAATTTTTTATCTCAAGTTTTCTTCAAATGGAAAGTTTAATTTCTGAAGACATGGATTTCAATATCTGAGAGAATTTCATAGCATATATAGCTGGAGCATAATAAAAAGTTTTGAATCATTTTAATTTCAGCATAGAAAGTAGTAGATCTTTTGTTTCTCTTTCCAGAAGGTTACCAAATGCATGAAAACCACTGGATGAGCACTCTATTCTCTGCTCCATGGCGATAATTCAGTAGGAGTCAAAGAAAGCTATTTATAGAAGCTATCTATAGACTGAAAGCTTAATTTATGTGGTGGTTTTTGCTAAATACTTTGCAATAAAGGAAAACTATCAACCGTTAAAGATCTTGACAGGTCAGCTTGCTTTGGTAGTAAAAGGAGGTGACGAGAAGGTTGATAAAACAGCTATAAATCTTTACTGAACATACAGCTTTAATTGTCTGGCATTAAACTTACGGGCATTAGTTGTGACAGGCTGGAGCCAGCTTGTACCAGCTTGTGAGAGCCATTGTACTTGTATCTTTCTAATTCCATGTTCAGTAAAGTCACATTGGCAGCTTGATGTTGGCTAGAGGGGGAGTGTTTACACCATGAAAATTGGCAAATGCTACAAATCAGGGCCTCATTTTTTTTGACAGCCAATTGTTAAACATTCACAGCAACCTCTGGCCTTTACCCATGTAAAAAACGATGACAGGTACCATTTCCTAGGAATATGTAAAGGAGGTTTCCTTTGTGATAATGGACAGTCATGGTAGAAGAGAGGAGGGCTTCCCTTGGCGTCTCTTCCATTAGTGTCCCCAGATGTTAGCCTACCTAGGGATGAGCAAAGATTGAGAAAGGGGAAGAAGCAGAGACAGAGAAAGGGGCAGGAAGTGTGCCTGGTCCTTTGCTTATTCTACTGACTCTGACTTTTATCATCCTCAAGCCAGACACGCATGCTCTTTAATTTGTTTCTAAGTGCTTCAACAGCCTCTGCGTCTATTAGCAAGCAAGAAAGAATTGAAGCAACTCTTTCTACATTATGACATTCCGCCACTTGCCGTTCGGTCCTGGTCCCTTAACTGCCGTGGTGTTTCCCATCTACAAATCAGAGATGGGACACTTGATTCTCCCCATTGTGCAAGTAGTTATAGTTAATGCCAGGTTGCCTCTCTGTGTAGAGTAAGAAACGGAATAGAATGAAATTATTCAGAAGTTGATTTTAGAAGAGTCTCCCCGAAGAGGGCTGTCTGTGGAGAAGGAGGAGAAGATTTGGAAGCTATCAGATGAGGCCTTGCTGTTGAAAGTGTAGCTCATGGACCAGCAGCCTCAGTGTCACCTGGGAGCTTGTCAGAGATGCAAAATCTCAGGTCTACACCTACTGCATCAAAATCTGCCTTTTAACAAGAATTCCAGGTGATTTTTATGCACGTTACAGTTTGAGAATGATCTAAGGATGGCTTGTTCGTGGGACCAGAGAAATACCCATATGTTTTTTTGTACAGTGCACATTTTAATCAAATTTATAGCTCCGTTTTGTGTCCCAGCCTTTGTTTTTCCACGTTTAGATTTCCATTTAAGCTTTACACTTAGCAAACAGCTTGGCCTTTCCAGGAACAACATTTACATAATCCTCATACTAGAAAAATCCATATTGATTTGCCTAAAATAGTGACATACCTACATTGGGAGCACAGGGGAAGTGGGTGTTAATTCTCCATCCATAATGGCAGCAATCAATAGGTAGAACATGTAAAAATCAAGAAATAGCAATATCAGCATATTATCTAGGGATATGAAGTTAATTACTGGATTAAAGAATAGCAAAATGATTTAAAGTAGCTGCCTCTGGGAAGTAGGCCTATTTTTTTCCATTCTGTCTGTTTGGACTATATATATTTTTAAAAATATGTACATGTATTATTTTGATATCATTTAAGGATATTATGCAAGCTTGTATTTTATGCATTCTAAGAACAAGGTAGAATATAAACAAGCAGGCAAAAAGAAAAAAAAAAAAAAGACCTAAAAATCTTTCCCAGGAAGGGCAAGTAGACTGTAATGGTGACTACAATAACAAATTCAGTGGTTTATGCAGGGAAAAATATGCACATATAGTAACTAGGAGAAGAGATGAGCTGTTCACACCAGTGAAGACCTCATATTGGCAACCTGATATATAAAGGATGAGAAAAGGAAAAAAATGCAGAAGCCTGCTGGGGATAAGAGTAGAGATAGAGAAATCACATGAGGTTGTGGTAGGATATTAAGGTGAGAAGTATATCAGAAGAACTATTCTCAGACAGCTTCCCCCCAGTGATTTATCTGCCAGAGATGTAAACTCTAACAGGTGGAAATTACGACATTTGGGGAAAAGAAACCACAGAACAGGAGTGGATCTTGAAATTGTTTAAGGCAATAGTTTTCAAACTTCATTTTAGCCTTTAAAGTTTCTTTACTCCCAACTGAGGTCCTACTCTGAACTCTGATGTAATAAAACAGAAGCCAGCAGAGCTGCGGTATTGAAGGAGAGAGTGGAGGGGGGCCTAGAACCTGGTCCCCGGAACCTCCATCTTGTCTTCAAGGTGCTCTGACTTCCAAGGGAGATGAGCAGAAAGGGACTATGCTGCAGCTCACAAACATCCCTATTTTACTAAGGCTTGAGGACACTAGTGCGATTTTCTAATGGTCATTTATAAGGCCAATGGCAAAGCCAAGTCTTGACCTCAATTTTCTTGAGTCATAGTCCAATGTTCTTTCCAATTTACTTTACTGCTACGTTATGTAGTTGGAAGGGTAGTTGGCTCCAATAGACCGTAAACTCTGTGAAGACAGAGATTGGGTTAAACTTCTTCCCTGCCATAGAATACTTGGTGTAGACCCTCAATAAATATTTGTTGACTAAATGAAATACACAGTGCCTTAAGTTGGCTGAAATCCTTGATGTTTTCAGGGAGTGAAATGGAGTTAAAATATGTGAGGAGTACAGTTAATTTATCTTTGAAGATTCTCTTCTCTAGAGAGGTTAGTTCCTTGAAGATAAATGATTTACTATTTTTATCTCCTTAAGCCTTACATGATCCTTTCACTATCCCTTTTCAGTTTGGTACTCCTCAGTCAGAGAGTTTTCATTTGTTTGGGATTAAGATCTTTTTGGTCTTCTTGTCTTTGACTAGCCCAGAACACAGGCCATCTTTTTAGACCAGCTCTTTGATAAGCTTTATTTCTATTGAGACTGACTTTAGCTATGGAAATGGACGAGTTGGATCTATTCTCACAGACTCACAGGTTGAGTTGATGGTATCCCAGCAATGACGTTTTTTGGAAAAATCTTTACTCAGTTTAAATCCTTGGTACCATGGAAGGACATTTTTTCCTTGGATGGGGTGGGGGGTGTGGATGGTTTTGGGATGATTCCATTATTTTACATTTATTGTGCAGGCAAACCTAATGACAATCCATATTTGCAGCAACACCCCAATGCTAGCATCACCACCTCAGCTCCACCTCAGATCATCAGACATTAGATTCTCTTAAGGAGCGCACAACCTAGAACCTTCGCATGTGCCGTTTACAGTTGGGTTCAGGCTCCTCTGAGAATCTAATGCCACTGATCTGACAGGAGGTGGAGCTTACGTGTGATGTGAGCGATGGGGAGCGGCTGTAAATACAGATGAAACTTCTCTAGCTTGTCTGCTACTCACCTCCTGCTGTGCAGCTGGGTTCCTAACTGGCCACTTACTGGTACCAGTCCACCATCTGGGGCTTGGGGATTGCAGCTCTTCAGCTTTTGCTTTTTGCTGCAAAGAGATAGCAGAGGCGGTACCTGGACATAAAGGCTCAGCTGTGATCACTCACTGGAATTGCCTTTTAATGGCTTGCCTTGAGAAGGGGGCTTGTGCACAAGATCTGTGTGTTGGTGTCAGAGTTTCCATTTAGCTCAGGTAAAGATGGCAATGAAAGGCAATCTGTTTGATGACTTCCACCTGTGTTTTTTAAATTTTAGGATATTATTCCACCTGTGTTTTAATAGGTGCTGCACCTTCCCAGGTGTTCTGGGTTATTGGCAATGAGAAAGAACATCAGGAGAAGGGCATGGAGAAGAGAGAAAAAGAGGTGAGCCATCAGCTCTTCAGATATCGGAGTTATATAGGCTGTGGCTCAGCCTGGCTGCCAGCACTTTCTCTAGGGTCCCGAGGTGTTCAAGTTCACTTTGTACTTCTTTGGAAGAATTAGAAAAAGACGTTGGTTGGCTGACCTACCAGTTGCGCCCTGTGGCTGAAAAAACCTGTTTAGGCCAGAGTGAAATGGTTAGTTATTCCTCCATCCTTGTTAGTTGTTCCACTGCCCTGAAGTTACCTTTCCAAAGAAGCAGCTACAAAGATCATTCTATCTTCTGTGCCAAGGGGTGAACTGGAGAAGGTGCTGCCAAGGCTTGGAGTGGCTGGGATGATGGGCTAGTTTGCATGCAGGCAAATTGACCAGAGGGACTTTTAAAAAGTTGGCATCAAGACTTTTCCTTCCCCTCTCCCCCCCTTTTTTTCCTTATGACAATAATGAATGAAGCATGTTAGGCTTGTTTTCAATTATGCAACAAGTCCCCATTCAGTAGAAACCAAGGCAGCAGTCCCAACCGCATTTCAGTGACTGAAAGTGCAGCTCCCCATTCGGCCCACGGTTGAGCAGTTTTAGCATTCAGCATCAGTGCTGCCAGCTCAGGTACCCTGGGAGTGATTAAATGTTTGCATATTCAGGAAACAGCCAAATCTTTTTCACTTGAGTTTAGAGGGCCCAGGGCTTGTCATCTGTTTCTGGGATATGGAGAAATAAAAAATAGAAGAGTTCCAATCTCACTGTGTGTTGCAAGGGAAGCGAATTGTCGTATAGCCAGGTGGGTTGGACCCTTGGATGTCCCAACTCATGGTCTTCTCACAGTAATTGCTTCAAAGAAGCACATGTTCCACTAAAAGCGATCAGGAGCCCATCTGTCTCACGCCTCTGCCTCCTAATCCTCTTCCCTTGAAAACAAAGGCTGGGAATTCTGATTTTTTTTTTTTTTTTTTTTTTTGAGACAGAGTCTCGCTTTGTTGCCCAGGCTAGAGTGAGTGCCGTGGCGTCAGCCTAGCTCACAGCAACCTCAAACTCCTGGGCTCAAGTGATCCTTCTGCCTTAGCCTCCCGGGTAGCTGGGACTACAGGCATGCGCCACCATGCCCGGCTAATTTTTTTATATATATATCAGTTGGCCAATTAATTTCTTTCTATTTATAGTAGAGACGGGGTCTCGCTCTTGCTCAGGCTGGTTTTGAACTCCTGACCTTGAGCAATCCGCCCGCCTCGGCCTCCCAAGAGCTAGGATTACAGGCGTGAGCCACAGCGCCCGGCCGAATTCTGATTTTTAAACATTTTTTTCCAATTATTTAAAAGTCTACCCTAACTTGTTTATTATTGTCACTTTGTTGTGCCATCAAATATTGTTCATTCTATCTAACTACATTTTTGCATCCATTCACCATCCCCACTTTAAGGAAATTGATCCTTGCCTTTGAAGTGAACATGAATATTATTTGTGTGTGTTTGTGTGTTGTGGGGTGTGGGGTGGAAGTCAGGATACTGTATCATAGTGCCACAATGGTTTATCATTTGCAGTCATCAGTAAAAATTTGTTCAGGGAGCTCCTCTCATCTGCAGCCCAGCCCAGATGGTGAGATGATAGGTGAGCCCAGTAGCTAGGATGTGGAGCCACGCTGCCTGGGTTCGAATTCATTCTCTAGGGTAGCTGGGTGACTTTGAACAAAATACCGAATGCTCTGTGCCTGAGTTTTCTCACCTATAAAATCAAATTAGTAATTGTATTTATTTCAGAGACTTGTTGTAATGCTTAAATGCATTGTGATTGTGGCACACAATAAGTGTGTGATTAACATTAACTATTTACATTGCAAAGGTATATATATTATATCTAATATAAATTGTATAAATATATTTATGCAACATAATTTTATTATATGTAATATAGTTCGTGGAAATCTGTATTTCATAAGTATAATGTAAAGATATATGTATATGAAGTTGAAATGAATATAAATATTTGTTAAATGATACTTTGAATGTCCTGAAAAAAATTTAAAAGAATCTTAGGAGATACCCTTTTGGAAAAAAGGAATGATTTTTTTTCTTTATTATGTTTTTGTTTTAGGTTGTACTAGCTGCACCCATCCTGGGAACCTGATGTTTTGAGGAACTGGAAAGCTGACCACTTCTCTAGGCACCAAGTGCTCATGGGGGCTCTTTAATTTTTTAGTGGAAGGAGTGGAGAGGAATGTTGGAGAGAGATGGGAAGACTGGGGTTGGTATGAGAATGGCGGGGCACCTGTCCCTCTGCTGGGGGAGGGGGCTGGCTTGAGGCCTAGTGGAGAAAGTGCACAGAGTTAGTGCTAGAGGCCAAGGAAGGTGATCATGAGAGACTGTGGACCAAGAAGGGCTGTCCATGATGGCCAAAGCCACAGGTGCATTCTGGGATTGCGACTTCTCTGTCCAGCCGCAGTGCACTGGGGCGCCCTGGTGCTGGAGTGGCCAGGCCTCTAGGGAGCAGCAGCTTCCCAGTATGAAAAACCAGAGGGCAGGGAGTTGTGGCCAAAGAAAATGGGCATGTGAGATACTTTGGGGATCCCAAAAAGTAATTGGGGGAGATTTTTAAGGACAGATCCCATAACAACGATGCTGGGAGATAAGAGCACTGTGGTTTTAGAAATTCATGTTGTTATGTCTAGGCACATTCAGGATGTCACCATAAATCTAGACTTTCATATTTGGGGATAGATAAAAGCAGAACCCACTTATCTTTCTTAATTCTAAATTGGTATCCATTATAAAATATACTTTGATTTAGTAACATCTTATTTTGGAGGACGTTGGGAACTGGAGTGAAGAAACAAAAGCATCAGTTATGAAATATACTCCATATTACACATGTCAAAATGTGATAGAGTTGTATTTTAGCCTTGAGGAAATAAATATATTGTGAAATCCTGGGAAAATAATGTTTTATTGGCATTGCATAGTTAGATACCACAAGAGCTGTTTCTCTCTCCCAACTACTCAAAGGATCTTTAATGGCTGAGATGAGCTTAAAGATTTTGTTGCTTCTTGAAGGACAAAGGAAGGAGTGGAGAATTGGAATGAACAAGTGTAATAATGACAGTAATAATGATTACCTTATAGAGTAACGACTATGTGCAAAACACCATGCCCAATGCTTTGTATATGTTATTTCCACTTCTTTATATAATCAGGAGACATGGGTATTATTAACCCTATTTTACAGATGAGGAAACTAAGGCTCAGGAAGTTTAAATGAGTTGGCAAAATGTCATAAACTACTGGATAATGAAGATAAGATTGGAAATATGTTGTTTGACTCCCCCAAAGTTTACACTTTAAGGAGGTGGGAAAGAGGAAATGTTTAAATGGCAAACCAAAGAGAGGCAAAGTGACAGGGAGGGAAGGGAGGACCTCACTGGGGCTTTAGAAAGGAGAGCACTGTTCTTATCTCAGCTCCGTAATAACAGCGAAAACTTATATGACAGACTCAAGGCTAAGCACTTCGCATGCATGGTCTCATTTAATTCCTACTACAGTCCTGAGAAATTATCACTATTCTCATTCTACAGACAAGGAAACTGAGGCCCAGAGGAGGAATTACTCAGTTGGTAAGTTTATTTTTCAAAAAATTTTTAATTGATATGTATTTGTACATACTTATGGGGTCCATGTGATACTTTGATACATGCATAGAATGTGTCATGATCAAGTCAGGGTGTTTAGACTATTCATCGCCTGGAGTATTTATCATTTCTATGAGCCGGGAGCATTTCAGGTCCTCTCTTCTAGCTATTTTGAAATATACAATACGTTGTTGTTAACCACAGTCACCCTACTCTGCAACCAAACATTAGAACTTATTCCAGTTAGTAAATTCAAACTCTGGTCTGTCTGACCTCAATCCTGTGCTCATAACCAGTAGATTATTTTGTGACGAAAGTGACCTGTGTTTTCCCTGACAAGTTAGAACCTCTCTTCCATATCCTTTCCCAAATCTCCGTTTCTCCTTCTGCCCCTACTCCAGCCCCCCTGTGGTTGACGAGCCTGGCTTTGCCAAGCCACAGCGTCGTTTCTGCGCCCTCGCTGAAGGAACCACAGGGTGGCAGTATAACACCACACGGTTCAGACTCGAGGGCCTGGGCCGCGCGTCTTCCCGACTGCAAGAACCAGGCCAGGCTCCACTCTCAGACAGACAAACCACTGACAGCCGGCGTGGGCTTAGCAGTTCGTCCTGTCACCGGTGCAGAGAGGCGGAATACCGTCCTCGCTAGCTCACTGAGGGGGAAGGACCCAGACATCGCAGCTGGGTGACAATGGTGGTCCCAATGCTACCCGGCTTCAGGGAGCATTGCCAAGACCTTGAAGAAATCAGGGAATGCTATACATTTAAACATATTTCATGTGCTGACCCTCCACTCTCCTCTCTCTATTTAGGTTTTGTGGAATCTGTGTTTTTGAAAAGTACAGAAGTGGTGGAAAGCAAGGAGAATAAAGGGAAAGGAAGAGAGAAACGGTTTGGAGTCAAAGGGCATGGTCCCGGGGACCTCCTCGTCCCCTTTCTGCTTGTGTGGTACTAACCACGACAGCCGGTATACCCAGACTCGTTTCCTTATGCATGAAATGGGGAGGACATTGTCTGCCCTAGCAGGTTGTTGGGAATATTAAATAAGGCAAAGTCAGGAAGGATTTTTAAGTCCTTAATCATGGAAATTCTGCGTTTTCTTCAGATGTTTGCTTCCTTAGCCTAGAGAGGTGTGGCAACTAAAAGAGAAGGACCAAGAGTCCTATCAGAGAATGAATAGGAGAGCACAGCAGGGGTAGAAATCAATACATAGTCTACAGACAAAAAGAATTCCAGCTGACCTAGTAACATAAAAACTATTTAGGAGGCTGGCAGAACAAAGGGAGTTGTGTTTGTATCTCTCTACATCATTTTGTAGTTTGTTGTAGCAATGAGAAATATTCATGCTTTTCCAGGGGAGTGACAAGATATACATGTAGAAATGGGTTTGATTTCTGAAGCTTCTTAGGGACCAGTTAGGTTTTACAGATGTGCCTCTCGCATGTGAAGATCACATGTGCCTATATTGTCTGACTATAGCCCAGGATGAACAGTCTGTGTGCTCTGGTTGGAAAGCTGGCTTTGTTATTCACCGGCTTTGTGTTTTAGGGCCAGTTCCTTAACCTGTTTCTTCATTTGAAATATGGGGAAAATTATAATAGCTCCTACTTTACAGGCTGATATAAGGATTATATAGGATGATGCGTGTAAAGTGCCCCACATACTGTAGGCCATTGATAAATGCTGGTCATTATTATTAATAACGTTGCCCAGTTGCAATAACAAGAGTGCTTTTCACGGGCCGGGAATTCAGGCACGGCTGGGAGTCAGGTGATACTCGAACTTGCTCAAGGAACAATAAAGAGACGGAATAAAAAGCTGCTGTCTTGCTGCTCCCTGTTGAAAGACCAGCTCACATCCCTTCAGGGCACTTGCAGCAATGGCTAGATCTTTCCTCTGGGATCGTGGTGTCTACGTCAGGCTAAATTGACTGCCCTTTGCACTTACATTGCATTCTTGGGGACCAGTTGGATGCCCACCGATGCTTTGAGCTAGAGGTTCCAGCATGCTGGTGAGGTCAGAGGAGTCTCTGGTTTCCACTGGTTCACAAAACAGCTGTCTCCATAGGTCATGGCCCTTTTTGACCGTCGTTTCAATCTCCTTGCTTCTCGCTCCTCACCTTTTACAGTGATCTTCCTATAGGAAATCAAATACGATTGTGTTCTCCTCCCAACCATCCTTGTAGAGGAGAGCATTATTACAGAAATATTAAGACCTGTGTTGTCTAGATCAGTGCTTCTCAAAGTGTGGTTCCTAGGCCTGCAGCATCAGCATCACCTGGGAGCTTGTTAGAAATACAAAATCTTGGGCCCCAATTGAGACCTATTGAGCAGGAGATTCTGAGGAGGCGGCACCTAAAATTTGTGTTATAACTTGCCGTCCATGTGATTCTGGCTTTTGTGCACATTTGAGAATTCCTTCCTCTAGCATTAAAAATAGGTCTGTGTACCGTGCGATACTTTGGTGCTTGTTTCTAAGAACCCAGACATTGAGATCAGATTCATCATGATGTTCTGATGGATTGTATCCATGTTTTGTCATATTATCTCTGCATTTTGCCAGTAGAAAAACCAACAGGGTTTAGAATCTTTTAGAAAAACCAAATGCAGCTCTCTTATTCTGCCTGCATATGCATAAATATTTGACTTGTTTCCCCTCTATTAGTCATTATTGCAAACCATGAAGTTGGAAACATTAACTGAATTGACCTTTTAAAAATTAACAGTAATGCTTGCCATTTCATTTCCTGATTCTTTTCTTTTGTGTTTTATTTTCTCATCAGAAAAAAAAAGCAGACTATCTTCATCATTTTTAATCCTAAGGCTGAAAATTGAGAACTAGTTATAGATTTTGCATGGGTATGTGGTAACAGTTGTGACTGCCTGGAGTATTATAGCACTAATGACACTAATGACAAAACTAATATTCTTTTTTATTTGTTTTTTGACATATAACAATTGCACATATTTTTCTGGAGGCACAATGTGATGTTTTAATACATGTGCACATTGTGTAATGATCAAATCAGGATACTTAGCATATCCATCACCTCTAACAGTTTTTTTCCTTGGTAGAGTCTTTAGACTTTTCTGTCTATAAGATCATATCATCTGCAAACAGGGACGATTTGACTGCTTAATTTCCGGTTTTGATGCCTTTTATTTCTTTCTATTGCCTCATTGCACTGGCTAAGACTTTCAGTCTTATGTTGAATAGAAATGGTCAAAGTGGGCATGCTTGGGTACATACCTTCTATACCTAATTTGTTGAGGGTTGTTATCATGAAGGGGTATTGAATTTTGCCAAATGCTTTTTGTGCATCTATTGAAATGGTCATCTGGCTTTTCTCCTTTCTGTTAATGTGATGTATCACATTTATGGATTTGCCTATGCTAAACCATCCCTGCATCCCTGAGTTGACTTCCACTTGATCATAGTGAACAATCTTTTTCAATGTGCTTTTGAATCTGATTTGCTAGTATTTTGTTGAGAATATTTACATCTATGTCCATCAGGGATATTGGTCTGTAGTTTTCTTTTTGTGTTATGTTCTTGTCTGGCTTTGCTCTCAAGGTAATGCAGGCTTCATAGAATGAGTTTCAAAATATTTCCTCTTCTTTAATTTTCTGGAATAGTTTCAGAATAATTGGGCTTAGTTCCTCTTTAAATATTTGGTAGAATTTGCCAATAAAGCTATCAGGTCCTAGGCTTTTCTTTGATAGGAGACTTTTTATTACTGATTCAATTTCCTCACTTATTATTGGTCTGTTCAGGTTTTCTATTTCTTTATAAGTCAATCTTGATAGATTGTATGTGTCCAGGAATTTATCCATTTCTTCAAATTTATTGGTGTATAATTGTTTATAATAGCCTCTTACAATCCTTTGTATTTCTGTGGTATTAGTTTTTATATCTCCTTTTTAATCTCTGATTTTATTAATTGAATCCTTTCCCTTTTTTTTTAAGTCTAATGAAAGGTGTGTCAATTTTATTTTTGAAAAACCAACTCTTCATTTTGTTGATCTTTTGTATGGTTTTTCTAGTCTCTTTTTTGTTTATTTCTACTCCAATCTTTATCATTTCCTTCCTTCTACCAATTTTGTTTGATTTGTTCTTCCTTGTCTCATTCCTTGAGGTACATCATATAGGTTATTAAAAACCTTTCTTCTTTTTTATGTTGGTATTTATTGTTATAAACTTACCTTTTACAACTGCTTTTGCTATATCCTATAGGTTTTGGTAAGTTGTGTTACCATTCTCATCTCAAGAAAATTTTTAATTTCTCTTTTAAATTCTTCATTGACCCATTGGTAATTTAGGAGCATGTTGTTTAATTTCCATGTATTTGTAAAGTTTCTGAACTTCTTCCTGTTATTGATTTCTAGTTATATACTATTGTGGTCAGAAAAGATACTTGATATGATCTCTATCTTCTTAAATTTATTAAGACTTGTTTTGTGGCCTAACATATAATCTGTCCTGGAGAATGTTCCATATGCAGTTGAGAAGAGTGTGCATACTGCAGCTGTTAGATGAAACAGTCTGTAAATATCTGTTAGGTCCTTTTGGTCTAGGGGTACAGTTTAAATCCAGTGTTTCTTTATTGTTTTCTGCCTAGGTGATTTGTCTGTTATTGAAAATGGGGTGTTAAAATCACCTACTATTCTTGTATTGCTGTCTATTTCTTCTTTCAGACTTAATAACATTTGCTTTATATATTTGGGTGCTCCAGTGTTGGGTGCATGTATATTTACAATTGTTATATGATTTTACTGAATTTATCCCTTTATCATTATGTAATGGCCATCTTTGTCTCTTTTTTACAGATTTTGACTTAAAATCTATTTTGTCTGATATAAATATAGCTACTCCTGTTTGTTTTTGGTTTCTGTTTGCATGGAGTATTTTTTTTCCGTTTCTTTACTTTCAGTCTGTGTGTGTCCTTAAAAGTGAAGGTGACTCTTGTAGGCAGCATATGATTGAGTCTTGTTTTTTTTTTTTTTAATATCTTTTAATTGGAGAATTTAATATATTTAAATTCAAGGTTATTATTAATAAGTAAGGACTTACTTCTGACATTTTGTTAATTGTTTTCTGGTTGTTTTATAGATCCTTTGCTCTTTCCTTCCTCTCTTTTTGTTTACTTTTGTGGTTTGGTGGTTTTCTGTGGTGCTAAGATTTATTTTCTTTCTCATTTGTGGATCTGCTGTAATTTATTTTCTTTCTCATTTGTGGATCTGCTGTAATTTTTTTCTTTATAGTTACTAGTTTCTTTATAGTTACTATAGATGCTAGCAGAAAGATTATCATAGTTCTAATTGACTATTTTAAGCTGATAACAACTTAGCTTTGATTACATAAAAATACATGAGACTCCCTCCCCCCAAAATTTATATTTTTGTTGTCTTAATTTACATATTTATATATTATGTGTTACTTGACCACTAATTGTAGCTGTTGTTATATTTTACAATTTTGACTTTTAATTTTCATACTGGAGACTTGAAAGATTTCCAAAGCACCATGACAATATTGGAATATTCTGAGTTTGATTATGAATTTACTTCTACTAGTGAGTTTTATTCTTTTTTTATTTTTATTTTTATTTTTTAGTTTGGCATATTATGGGGGTACAGATTTTAAGGTTTCAATAAATGCCCATTTCCCCCCTCCCCCCGCAAGTCTGAGTCTCCATCATGACCATCCCCCAGAGAGTTTTATTCTTTCACGTGTTTTCATGATAATAATTATTATCCTTTTGCTTCCAGTTGTAGCAAAACTCATTTAGCACTCACTTAACACATTAACTGCCATGTGAATTATACCTCTCACCAGTTTTGAGCCTGGGGCCTCATGAAACATATGTAACTCACATGTCTCTTTACCTTGGGAACTGTGAGAACTATTTTTCAAGTCACATAACACACACACACACACAAATAAAAAACAACAATTTTTTAATTAAATTAGAAAGATCATTTTGTTTTTGAAGTTTTTATTCTATTTTCATAATAAAACACTGTGGCCCCAAGTAAAAAATTTTTTTTTCTAGTGCGGCAGTCAATGTGTTAAGCATTTCTTATAAGCCTGGTCTTTGGGTAATAAATTCCTCAGCTTTTGCTTGTATGGGAAAGGCTTTATTTCATTTTCATTTCTGAAAGATAGCTTTTCTGGGTATAGTGTTCTTGGCTGACAGTTTTTTTTATTTCAGCACTTTGAATATATCACCTGATTCTCACCTGGCCTGCAGGTTTTTTTTGCTGAGAAATCTGCTGATAGTCTAATGGAAATTTTCTTATATGTAACTTGTCAGTTTTATCTTGCTGCCAAAACTAATATATTACATAATGCAAATACAGCCATGAAATTTACAAATTACTGTCACGTGAATTTTCTTTTTTATTACTTTTGCTATATGTATTATTCTTATTTTTTAATTGGGTAACTAAGGCTCAGAAGCTTACATCTTTATGATTGGGTACCATATATTTTATTTTGTTTTTGGTGGGGGCACCAGATGATTTTAGACAGACTTTTCTTTTGGAATATGAATATAAATAACAATGATGCATATTGGGTGCTTTCTATGTGCCACACACTATAATAGAAATGTTCTGTGTTTTCCTTGATTCACAAAAGCCCAAAGAGATAGTACGTAATACTGTTCCCATTGTACAAATGGGAAGACAGTCTTACAAAGGGTAAATAACTTACCTATGTCATACATAATCTTAAGGTGCAATAGAGCTAGGATTGAGATCCAGATTAGCTTTAATCTGAATCCTAGCTCTGTTCTTAACCTGTGTGGACAGGATCTCTAGAGATACTGCATCTAAGCAGTACTTTAAAGCTTCAGAGGAGGGAATTTTCACCTTTGGCTATTTTCTGTACCCAGGAAGAAACACAGCAAGAAAGAGCAAAAGAGACTCCACTAAATACTTGACTCCTTCAAGCCAAGGGACTTTGTGAGTTTCAGATGGAACCAGAGTTACTCATACTCTATTTATCACATCAATTGCTACTGATGATTTATTTTTTCAATGGCCTAATTCTTTTCAGAAAGTATTTCAGGACACTGTAAGGGTCTATAAGAGATGTCACATAATCACATAAATAGTTTTATGTACAGATAAAAGGGCAAGCCTTTTCTAAAAAGCTAGCCTCTAAGTGGATTATTTTAAATTAATTGGGACCTTCTTTTATTCTTATCATACAAGTGGCCTAGGTACAGTCCCAGCTTGAGACAACTATCTACTTATCCAACACAAAAATACTTTGAATAAGAGCAACAACATAATTACAAATTATTTTGACAATATTCAAATAGTGCAGATATGTATAAAGCAAAGATGAAATCAAAGTTCTTCTAGAATAATATTTTAACATCTCAATGTTTTAGGAAATTAAATATGGAACAAGGTTAATGAGAAGAAGATAATATAAATATCCCCACCTCAACCAAGCACCTCCTGGATCCTATTGCAATGGAAACGAAGTCCACTCTCTTTAGCTTTGTCTAGCTCCTGGTCCTCAAAAGGCTGAATAGGTATAGTACTCACTCTCTAGGTAAGCATATTATCAGCCACCCTCTAATTGGGGTTTATTGATCTCAAGCTTCAGTAAAAGGCTAGCTTGTGCTTTAATAACCAGTGGTATAGAGCAGTTCACCATTATCTTTGGTGCCAGCATGATTCTTTCTTGTTCCTAAGAAGTGCTTGTGCATAAAATAAAGTTGCATGCCACAATGCTATTCAGAAACTCAAAGTTCTGAGCTTTTGTAAATTTTTGGTGTTTTTGGAAACAGCTTTATTGAGATATAATTAACATAGCATATAATTTACATATCATAAAATTCACCCATTTAAAGTATATAATTCAAAGGTTTTTTTAAAATACATTCACAGGGTTTCCAACCATCACTGTAATCAATTTTAGAATATTTTCATCACTTCAAAAAGAAATACTTTATCCTTTAGTTATTACTCCCTAATCTTCCCATTCCCTTCCCACTCCCAGCTCTAGGCAACTACTAATCTAGTTTCTTTCTCTACAGATTTGCCTATTTTGGACATTTTATATAAATGAAATTTTACAATATGTGTACTTGGTTAAGTATGTGAGTAGGCAGTATCCTGTGGTTACAGGCAAGGTACAGATTTGGTTTCTACTCTTCACTTCTCTGCCTACTGCCTGTGCAACCACAGCCAGAACCCAACCTAATTTGCAATTTCCTTGCTTGCCAAATGAGGATAATTTTTCATTTCCTTTCTTTAAAAACATTTTAATTTTTTGAATCATTTCAAACTTACAGAAAAGCTGCAAGAATAGTACAAAGAATCCTAGTGGGTTTTTTTCCATATGCTCCAATTGTTAATAATATTCTATCACATTTACTTTAGCATTCTGTGTGTGTGTTTGTATTTTCTTTAAGCTATTTGAAAGTAAATTATAGTTGCTTATTTACTCCTAAATGTTAGTATGCATTTCTGAAAAACACATTTTTTGGGGGGGGCATATAACCACAGGAAAGTTATCAAAATCAGGAAATTAACATTGTTGCAATACTATTATCTAATCAAATTTTGTCAATTGTCCCAATAATGTTGAGGATTACCTGCTGTTTAATCTGCGAAGATTCCTCATGACCTTGACATTCTGAAAAGAACTAGCTACTTATTTTGTAGAATGCCCCTCAATATGAGTTTTTCTTGTAATTAGATTGGGTTATGCATTTTTACATTAAATTCCTCTTAGTCTTTTCATATATGTCAATTTGTCCCAATCCTGTTGATAACTCTGATCACTTGATCAAGGTGGTTTCTTCCAGGTTTCTCCACTATAAAGTTACCATTTTCCCCTTTGCAATTATTAAGTATCTTGTGGGTAGATACTTCGAGAGATTTTACAGAAATATCCTATTTCTCATCAAGCTTTCTTTCACTCACTAGTTTCCATTGACAATTTGTGACAATCAGTCATTATGATGATGGTTGCCACATTTTGATTTTCTAATTTCTATCATTTTTTCTAGATTTATTATTTGCATTCTACTATAAGATAAAGCTTTCCATTATATTATTATTTATTTTTGCTCAAACTATTTCAAATTTGGCCACTGGTGTCTTCTTCAGTCTGGCTGCTGTGTTGTTCTGACATATCATCATTCTTTAAGCATTTCTTTACTTTCTGGTGCAAAAAAAGATGTTTAGACTTATTTTGTATATGTACTGTTCTAGTTCTGGAATTGGCCTTTTCTCCAAAGAGCTCTGATTCCTTTTAGTGGAGGAAGAAGTTAGAAACCAATATATGAATACTAGTGGTGTTCACTGTTACTGGGATGTCATTACTTACAGGCCCTCTCAGTGCACAGAGCTAGGAAATATATGTATGTATACACATGTGTAATTTCAGATCATTTCCTGTATCTTTCTATCAACCTATATGAAAAATGATGATATCTCTCCAATTCCAGTCCAATGCCATAGGTTCATTTCATACTTGTAACCTCCATTCTCTGACAGTGAGAAACCTGGCTCCCTTTATTTGTAATCTATTTACTTATTTATTCAAACTTGCTTTCTTCTCCTCCAGAAGTGATCCCCCTTTTGAAGACTGCCACCTAGAATCACATATACTCTTATGTTCCTCCCTTGTTGCCACCGCTCTGATTGTACAGATCTTATTGAGTATTGATGCCCTTGGAGTAGACTTTTCTTTCTCTGGAGGTGAGTTATGTCAATCTCAAGCTCTCTTCTAGCTCCTTTCTTCTGTTCAGTATTTCCAGTCAGCTCTTCTCTCTGCTAAGACTTGCTGTAGAAGTTTGAGAGAGAATTTCCTAGGATTTGGTGTTGCTTTTTCTATGTATAGGTCACTTGAGGTTTGGACATTCTCTGTCTTCTATTTCTGCTGAAGGTGGGGTTTTGAATAGTTTTATTTGTTTTTCTTGCTGTTGCTATTGCTTTGGGAGGAAATATAGGGAGATTTGGATTTAGGGACTAACTTTATTCTCAGATACTTAAAAACTTATCCAAATAAGAATTTTTATTTTGTGAAGATTAAGTGACTTAACCTATGCAGAGTGCTAAGTACTTATGTGTGTGTGTGTGTGTGTGTGTGTGTGTCAGACAGAGAGAGCAAGAGACAGAAAGAGATAATAAAATTAAGTAAGGTTAACTATGTAATATAAAAAGTAAAGTACCTGGCACATAAAGTTTATAATAATAAATTTCATGAGATTTTCCTAACAAGAATTTCTATACTCATTTTAACTTTAACTTATGTAAAAGTAATATACATATACATATATACACCTATATGTGTATAAATATAATTTTTAAATGACTACAAAGCTTCAGCTAAACAGTCATCCCTAGATCAATCTATTATTTCCTACCCCAAGTCCATTATTCAGAGATAACGTCTTTCTACTTCTAGTTATTTTCTCTGTTATTTATGTTTTTATTTCTATATATATATCTTGCTTATAGTTCTTGATTTATCAAGTTTAGACAATATTAATATCTTGTTAAATCAAGAATAAGTATCTATTATATTGTGGGTTGGGATCCCCAGCATCACATCCAGGTTTGATGATTCATTAGGAGGATTCACAGGACTCAGCATGTAGTTCTAATCATGTGTCTTAGTTTGTTTTTTGCTGCTAAAACAAAATATGACAGTCTAGGTAATATAAAATGAACAGAAATTTATTGGCCACAATTCTGGAGATTGGGAAGTCCAAGATCAGGGGGATGGCCTCTGGGGAGGGCTTCATACTACCTCATCCCATAGTGAAAGATGTAAGGGCAAGAGAGGTTGAGAGAGAGACAGAGAGAGCAAGAGGGGGAATAACTCACCCTTTATCAACAAACCTACTCCCACCATAATGACATTAATCCACTTATGAGAGAAGAGCCCCATGACCTAATCACATCTTAAAGGTCCCACTTCTCAATACTATTGCATGGAAGATAAAGTTTTCAAAGCATGAACTTTGGGTGATACATTCAAACTGTAACATCATGGCTAAGTTTTTATTTATTTTTTTATGGCAAAAGAACACATAGCATGATCAGCAACAGTCAAAGGTATATATGGGTGAAGTCTAGAGGAGACAAGACACAAGCTCCCAGAGTCTCCCCCCACCCACACTGGAGTCACACAGTTCACACTTAATTGCTCCAGCAAGATGTGACAACAGGTGTGAAATCTGTTGGTCAACCAGGGTCAAACAGGTGTCAACCAGGTTAGCTCATTAGAGACTCAGGGCCCCATTTTGTTGTTGTTGTTGTTGTTGTTGTTGTGAGCCTGTCACCTAGGTACTCTCTGCTTGGCATGTGCAAAATTCTAGACTCCTAAAAGAAAACCACATGCTCAGTATAAGTCATATTGTTTGCACAGATTAGGCACAGTAAATCACTTAATGCTTATTCTGAAATCCAAGATGCCAGCCAGCGGCTACAGGGCCAATCTTATAAGTAAGAATTTTAAAGCATAGCAGTCAGGCCTGTTATGCTAACTTTTTTCTGGATGATGGTTTTTGTAAAGATTTTCACACTTAAGTCAAGTGGTGTGCTTATGATTACATCCAAGTAATATGAATATATCTCCATTTTATGTGACTATTTATTTCCCCTACAGTTAATAATGCCTTCTTTTAGTTTACTATTATTGTTTGCTTGCTTAGTTTTTTTGCATAACTATTAATTATTCTTTCCCCAACTCCAACAGAATTGTAAGAGAGGTAAGAGAAAAGACTTGAAAGGAAATTTGGGGCCATATTATAAAATGTGCTGTACACCATGTGTTATGGACTGAATGTTTATGTTCCCCCAAATTCATATGTTGAAATCCTTACCCCCAGTGTGATGGATTTAGAAAGTGAGGCTTTTGGGAATTAACTGGGTCATGGGAGCAGAGCCTTCATGATTGGGGTTAGTGTCCAAAAGAAGAAACATTTGAAAGGCTGCTTCCTTTCTCTGATCTCTGCCATATGAGGACACAACAAGAAGACGGCCATCTGCAAACTGGGCAGAGGCCCTCACAGGCACCAGATCTGCCAGCACATTGATCTTGGACTATCCAGACTTCAGAACTGTGAGAAATAATTGTTTGTTGTTTAAACCATCTAATCCATAGTATCTTGTTACAGCAGCCAGAGCTAACTAGGACATGATGCAAAATAATTTTTGAGTTTTTTTCTGTAGGCTCTGAGAGCCATGAAAAAGTCTTAATCTCCAAGAGACTTGATTAAATTTAGTTTTGAAAAAGATTACTCTGCTGGAAAAGGAATAAGAGTTGGTAAAGATGGCAGGCAGAGAGAGAAGTTAGAGAGTTACCATAGTCCAAGGAAGATATGATGCGGATCTGGTCTGTAACAGAAAAGATGGGAAAAGAGGAAAAAACTTGGTGGCTGCCTAGACTTGGAGTAATAGGGAAGGGATGTAGCATTTCAGGTAGATTATAACATGATGGGGTGAGAACAAACACAAAAAACCACTCTAAGGTTGGATCAATCTCATGTTTATTTAGCCAAGTATATTAGTTTCCTAGGGAAGCTGTAACAAATTACCACAGACCAGGTGGGTTAAAACAGCAGAAACTAATTCTTTCCTAGTTCTGGAAACCAAATGTCTGAAATCTAGGTGTGTGCAGGGTTGGTTCCTTCTGCAGCTTCTGAGGAGAATCTGTTCCACGCCTTTCTCCTGGCTTCTGGCAGCTGCCCACAGTCCTGAGCATTCCCTGATTGGCAGATACATCACTCTAATCTCTGCCTCCGTCTTTTTAGCCTTTCCCCCTGTGTGCCTGTGGCTCTTCTACTCTTTTATTTAGGCCCCACCCTACTCCGGTATGACCTCATCTTAACTTGACTACATCTGTAAAGACTCTAGTTCTAAATAAGGTCACATTCTAAGGTGCTGAGTGGACATGAATTTTGGGAGGACACCATTCAAACCAGTACACCGAGAGTATGAAATGGAACCCAGAACAGGAGCAAATCCTGGCATCTCAGCACAGGCTCTGTTTCCTTCCTCCCCATCCTTCATGGGTGCCTGCCATGCCAGGTATGCTCTTGTCAGGACTGGAAACCCCATTTCTTATAGTAGCATTGCTCTTTTAAACTTAGAGCTTACCATCTTTCTCTGGAAAAACTTAGATTGATTCTTTATGCGATCTCACATGAAGGACTGCTATAAACACCTGCATTTCCTTGAAATTAGGCCCTTGAACCTAATAGGCCCATAGTTTTAACTGTACCAGGGAAGAGGAAGGAGAGCAGATGAGAGCCTGGTGTCCCTGAACAATATTTCTGCCTACAGGCTTCCACTGTGCAAGTGGGACTTGGGTCAATGACATGGCCATGGTAAATAAGTAGCAGGGCTAGGGTTCCAATATAGACTCTGTGATTAAGGTAATTTGTATGTCCCAGTTTGTCTGGGACAGTCTAGTTTACACCTAATTAGAGCCCCCTTTGCTCTCCAAAATTTTCTAGTATGTATGATAGATTATATATTCATACTATTTCTGACTCTGTCCTGTACTCTCTCTCTCTCTTTTTGTTTTTTTTTTTTACCATAACATACAACTTGCAAAGACCAAAGAAAATCAGCAGCTAGAATGGTAACCTTTGGTTGCAGAGCACTAAAATACAAAATTGGTTTCTGGGTCACAGTTTGCCTGATCTCTACCTGTTTTCCCAGGAGTAATTAGAGCACTGAGATTTATAGTCATGATAATTTGCAAGTGAAAAGAAGAAAAAAATTACATCAAACAAATAAAAAAAATTTATGGATAAATGGTATTCTTAAAACTGCATAAGTCTGCAGCCAGTTTGTTTGGATTGAGCATCTCTAGAAACTTCCTATGAAATGAAGAAAGATAAGAAGCATGTGCAGTAGTCTCCCCTTACTTACTGGGCATACCTTCTAAGAATTGTGGTAAATGCTTGAAACCATGGATAGTACTGAGTGCTACATACATGATGTATTTACATGCCTGTGATAAAATTTAGTTTATAAAAGGAGCACAGTAAGATATTAACAACAATAACTACTAATAAAATAGAGCAATTATAACAATATATTATAATAAAAGTTATGTAAATGTGATCTCTCTCAAAATATCTTACTGTATGTATAATAATATATTCACCCTTGTGATGATGTGAGATGATAAAATACCTACGTGATGAGATGAAGTCAGGTGAATGATGTAGCATTTAAAACTTATGAATTGTTTTTTCTGGGATTTTCTATTTGGTATTTTTGAATTATGGTTGACTGAGGGTACCTGAAACCACAAAAATCAAAATCACGGATAAAGGGGGACTACCGTAGCATCCACCCTTTGAAGACATCAACTCTACACTGTGGCCTGTTGTGTTTTTTTATTACAGACTTCATTGTTTAAGAGCAGGTTTAGGTTTATAGAAAAATTGAACAGAAAAACAAAGAGTCCCCATGTATCACTCTTCCCCCAGTTTCCCATATTATTTAACATCTTGCATTAGTATGGTAATTTCTATTAATGACAGATAGCGATGCTGTGCTCTTGGAACAAACACTGGTCTGTGAATTTGGAACCTCCCCAACATCTATAGCCCCAACCTTCCCCCTTCCTTGGTGAGGTTTTCTGGAAGGGCTGGACTCCAGATGGGCTTTGTCAGTGTGTTCTAGAGCATTGCGTGTGAATGGTGCTCCCTAGAGTTGCACAAGAGGGATGTAGT